GGCAGAGTAGAACTGCACCCTCCGGTTTGAGACTGAGTCTTTACAGGAACAGCCTCATCTTTCTCCCACAGAGTGGCTGGGGGATTTGAACTGCTAACCCTAAAAGTAGCAGCCCAATGTATAATCAACTATACTACAAAAAAATTAAAAACTCAATGCCATCAAGTCATAGACTCATAGCAACCCTTTACACCACCAGAGCTATTTAACAGCTAAAACTGGACCAAAAAGTGTCCATCACTCCTAAAGGTCAACACAACCTTGAATTATTGACAGGCTTTGCTTTTTTTTTTTCCTGTCTTTGGTTTTTGTTTTGTTTTGCTCTGTCTTGTTTTTTTGCGAATATTATTATTTCTGCAGGTCTATCTAGATAAGATAGGCGGGATAAACACTCTGGAGGTGAAAACAAGGGGACCAATGGTTCCAGGGGGATATGGGAGAGGGGGAGGCAGTGGGGAAAGGAAGTGGGAGTTAACAAACCCAGGGACAAGGGAACAACAAGTGATCCAAAATCTCGGTGGCAAGGAAGGTGGAGGAGGCTTAGTAGGGCTTGATCAAGGACAATGTAACTGAGAGGAATTACTGGAACCCAAGTGAAAGCTGAGCATGATAGTGGGACAAGAGGAAAGTAAAAGGAAATAGAGTAAAGAACTAGGAGGCAAAGGGCATTTATAGAAGTCTAAATATAGCCAATGTAAATATATAATGATGGGGAAATAGATCTATGTGCATATATGTATAGGTTTAGTATTAAGGTAGCAGATGGGCCTCTACTCAAGTACTCCCTCAATGCAAGAATACTTTGTTCTATTAAACTGGCATTCCATGATGCTCACCTTCCCACAAGATCGCTGAAGACAAAGCAGGTACATAAGCAAATGTGGTGAAGAGAGAGCTGATGGTGTCTGGCTATCAAAAGATAAAGCCTCGGGTCTTAAAGGCTTGAAGGTAAACAAATGGCCATCTAGCTTAGAAGCAACAAACCCCACATGGAAGAAGCACACCAGCCTGTGTGATCATGAGGTGTCGATGGGATCAGGTATCAGGCATCAAAGAAAAAATATCATTGTGAATGAGGGGGAGTGCATAGTGGGAACCTAGAGCCCATCTGTAGGCAACTGGACATCCCCTTACAGAAGGGTGGAGGGGAGATGAGTTAGTCAAGGTGCATTGTAGCAACGATTAAACATACAACTTCCCTCTAGTTCCTAAATGCTTCCTCCTCCCCACTATCATGATCCCAATTTTACCTTACAAATCCAGCTAGACCAGAGGATGTACACTGGTACAGATAAGAGCTGGAAACAGAGAATCCAGGACAGATGAACCCCTCAG